TTTTTTTTTTTTTTTTTCAACGTTTATTTATTTTTGGGACAGAGAGAGACAGAGCATGAACGGGGAAGGGGCAGAGAGAGAGGGAGACACAGAATCGGAAACAGGCTCCAGGCTCTGAGCCATCAGCCCAGAGCCTGACGCGGGGCTCGAACTCACGGACCGCGAGATCGTGACCTGGCTGAAGTCGGACGCTTAACCGACTGCGCCACCCAGGCGCCCCAAAACATTTCAGTTTTTTAAAAAAATGAACCAAACTCTTTCCCTGAGGTTAAGTTTTTTACTGTTTCTGCAAGGTAGCTATTTTAGTAAAATTTGCTATAACGCTATAATGAAGTCTGTCAGGAATTGGAAAGAGAAGTTATTTTACTATAAGTGAAAAGCTGGGGCACGTTTAGAATTTCTGGTAACGTTGGGAATAATGCCTTAAATGAAAATAATTACGTCAACAAAAAGAAATTCTTCTTAGATCAGTCCTGAGAACTGAGTAATAATGGTTAAGAATGATCACATTAAAGAAGCTTTTGGTCTTTATATGAAAAGAGAAAGTGAAACAGTAGCTAGGATTTACTACACACAGCACCACCACCTACTAGGACAGGACCAACACCAGGGTCTGGAAGAAAACATCCCTTTCAAATCCACGGGGCAATTTTTACCAACTCATTTTTCATGGAGCAGGAAAAATAGTCAGACAAATCAAAGGTAGGTATCTTTGGAAAATTTAATTTGGACCATGTTTTCTTTCTCTTGCTCAAAACACCAAGTAGTTCCGTACATTTTGGGTTCCACAGCTTACAAAGGGGCAGTGGGCTTCCTGCAGTTACATATACTGTACCCAACTTTCTATAGAAAGATCAGACATTTCCCAACCTTGCTTTGAGTATTTCCTAAAAAATGCTTTAAAGGTTTGTTAACAATAAATGGCAAGTGAAACGGTAAGGCTTTATTTTCTCCTTTTTCCCCTTTTTTGGTACTGCGTGTTGGAGGAATAAGGAAGGAAGACTTGTCCTAACAGTGTGGTGCCCCGGGGGATCCTGACACACCGGACACACTGCGGGGCCTTGACGGGAGCCCTGCGGTGCGTAAGGACCTTGGGACCTGGTACCTGGTAGGGCAGGTAGGGCAGGTAGGTAGGGGCGGGGGCACAGCACAGAACGGCGTGTGGGGTGGCGCTCCCGGCCTCCGGGAGGAACAGAGGGGGAAGAGGTCTCCCCCGGGGCCGCAGTACCACAGGTTCCCTTCCGCGGGCCTTACGAGATGCATTTAAACACTAAAGGTAATTTCTGAAAATAAAACGAGGAAAAAAATCCCTTCACTAATTTTTGTATCCAATTACTAAAATGAAAATAAAAGCATTTGATAAAACACATTTTCTACGTCAGATGAAAGCAACTCCCTTGCAAGATAACCTTAGTAATATATATTTGCACTATTTATATATTTTTGCCCGGTGCACACCCTTCTTTAATTGCATCATCTGAACAGCTTTGCCATTTTTCAAACTTGCAGTTTCATTAGCTTAAAAAAGGGATACAGCAGCCAAATTAATACTTCTGGTTGCAGAAAAACAGAGCAGACATTAACCTTCATCTTCTCAAGCGTTAAGAGCACATGATTAAAAGGTAATCAAACGGTGTCTTCTCTTAACAGAAAACTAAGCAGCTAGTGTCATCAAATCTATATCTAGTAAACACGGGGCCCCTCTTAAATATAAAATTAAATTCTTTTGAGGAATAGGTTTGTGATTTTAGTTGTGCGGGATTTACATTTATTCACTCATTTTGGTAGTAAAAATGTATGGTCTTCACTTCTTTATAGGCATACACGAGGGAGTTCTTCATCCTCTCAGCAGGCTGGCACACACCAATGGCAGGCTGGGGTCCTTGGCTTGTTTCAGAAAGGGGAGGCAGCCACACGCCACTTGCTCTCAGAAGCCCTGCAAAAACTCCTGCAGCTGGGTGACGATCTCCGTGTCCACGGTCTCCATGAGGGACTGGAAGCCTTGCTCTCCCAGGAGCTCCTGCTGCGCCTTCAGCTTCTCGTAGATAAACTGCTGCAGCGACACTGTGTGCACCGGGTCCTTCAGAGCCAGCTATGGGACAGAGAGGGGCCACACTGCGTCAACGAGGCAAACACAACTCCCCCTTACACGGGACTACAAATCTCTGTAATCTCTTCCGCAGCCGCACGACTGCTTCTGCCTCCCTTCTCACAAGAGATCCTCAAATAGTAACACTGTGCAAAAGTCTGCAGAAGGAAATTTCACTGTTTGTCTATCCTCGGTTCCCTAGGGCCTCTGAGACTAAGTTGCCCGATTAGCCCAACTCTTCAACAGCTCAGGCTTCATCCATGTAAAGAATTGAAACCTGGTACAAAGTATTCTAGACAGAACATGCCGAAGAGCATTTCAACACAACTGTCCAGGGCTCCTCTGAGGAAGATAAGGTGCTACTGAGGCAGCTCAGGGAGGCCCTCGGGGCTGACAGAGGAAAGCGCCCTATCCTGGACTGCTCTGCTACTTACTACGTGCTTCTGGTAACAGAGAGAGAGAGACAGAGACAGAAATAATAAAGAAAAACATTTATAAAACCAAAACAAGCACATACCCCTCCTCTCCCACTGGGATATTTGGAAAACAAAAGAAATACAATTAAAAATAACCCATCATTCTACTTCCTAACAATAACAATCACAACAGAAAACACTGTGGCCTCCTTTGCTTTTCTGTGCAAGTGATCCACAAATACACAATATCACAATATATACAATTAGTGCTGCTCTTTGCATTTGTATATCACATGAAAATTCTACTCTAACACATTTTAAGAATTCTAAATCTATATGTGTTATCATCTTTTTGGTTATAGGTGTGTTGAAATGATCATGGTATAGTTAAAATACAATTTTAACTAATTTTCCTGAATAACCTATCACAAGCACTGTTCCTCTACATATCAGATTACTTCCTTATGCCTTTTTCTATTTTAGAAGAATTACTAAAGGACACAGATGATTTTATGACGCCTGATACACATTATCAAGTTGTTTTTCCGACAGTTAGTACAAATGTAAAAGGTATGAGAGTTTACAGCTTGTGACATTGACTTTACCACTGGTATTAATTACCATTATTTAAATGCTTTATAATTTACGAAGTGAAAAATAATACACTCTACTTTAAGCTGTACATTTCTCTCATGATCAATAAAGGTGAACATCTGCAAGGCGTGAGTAAAATACATGAATGTGTGTGCCCACTATGGCTGCACAGAAACTCTTGTCCTTCCTTACGGATATTCAATTTTAGGTAGATAAAACAGTTGAATCACATGTGCTGTTTGAGCAATTTAAAGAAATTTTAAAATAATGACCACAAATGGAAAATCTAACTGAGAGGCAGAGACATACATGGCATGAATTTGAAATGAGACCCCTTAGGTGACCATTCCAGAGCTACATGATAAATCCAAGGCAAGGATACATTCAGTATTCATTGCAGGTGAACAGGAGAAAAGAACTCTCAACACAAACCCCTGCCTTCACAAGCCTGAATATATCACTGTACAAAAAGCACAGAAATTGAAGACGAACATTTAAAAGTAAATGTTCTCTTAAGCAAAATGCAGTAATGTTCGATATTATTTTCATTACTATGAAATAGATTTTTTGCTCAAGAGGATGTGCACTTTGTTGAAATATCATGAACTATCTGTAACTAAAACCATCTGCTACAATATGAGGGAAACAGAGCTGAGCTGGAAATTGATGTTCAAGTAAGTTACCCCAACTACTGAAATGAGCTTAGAAGGGTTGTTTAAATGCTGTTTCAATCTGCTATAGAAAACTGCAAACAGTTAACATATCAAATCTCCACCCTTTAACTTTCAACTGACTAATAAAAAGGAAAACTACTGCCATACTAAATCCCACCAAGGCATCAGTATAGTATTTTTTAAAGTATATTGACCAGTCATGCAAAGATAAAAAAAAACCATTAGTCTCTTTTGAAAGAAAGGTTGTTGAAGGGAGAAGGAAGGGAAAACAAAACACACAAGATCTCCAAATGCACATCTTGAAAGAATCTTAAAACCACCACCACAACAACTATTTTCTTCAGTTAAAAATATCATGTTAGCAAATAAATGTGGATTTTGGCTTGTGGTAGATAGTCATAAATCACAGCTATTAATACTTTCTTTTTTTGTTTTAATTTGTTTAATGCTTATTTATTTTTGAGAGAGACAGAAGAGAGTATGAGCAGGCAAGGGGCAGAAAGAGAGGGGGACACAAAATCTGAAGCAGGCTCCAGGCTCCAAGCTGTCAGCACACAGCCAGATGAGGGGTTCGAACTCAAGAACCGTGAGATCATGACCTGAGCCGAAGTCAGACGCTTAACTGACTGAGTCACCCAGGTGCCCCAATACTTTCTTTTGAATAAGTTTTTTGAAATACATTAATAAAATGACTCTCTTGAGAAAAATCACTGCTGCATACCCACTAAAACTCCAGATATCATTTCTTTGAATGTTACAGTGCCATTGATAGAATTAAAAAACACTAAAGTCACTAATATCATTTTCACAACTGTTGCTTTTATACAGTATATACATATATACTATATAAATAATGCCCACATTACATAATAAACTCAATTATATGATTTAACATGAAAAAATACAGAAAGCTTACATGTTCATCAGGTGGTATGCTCCTGAGAAAATAATTAGTTTTATAATGTAATAAGCAAATTATAATTAGGAAGATAACTCTGCTGTTGGAAAACCACACTGCAAAAGTAGATGTGAAGTAGACTTCTAATTCCAAAATAATAGAGTAAAATATTCTTCTAATTCTTTCAGCTAAGTACAACTAAAACTCCTGGACATTACGTGTGTGTGTGTCTGTGTGTGTAGAGACACCCAGAACTGAAGGAATGACACAGTACTGAGTCCCAGGCTTTCTTCTTGCATCATATATCCCAAATTTGGGCCTGAAGAAGCCAGCAACCTGGACATGGTAACAAACGTAGACCAAAAAAAGGCTCCAACAAAAAGCCTGCTCTCTACCCAAGGGACCACAAAGCAAGACAGAAAACTTTAGATGATAACTAGTTTATTTCACTCAGCCCAACACCAAGACTAAACTATGGCCCCACCTCTACTCACACCAGGCTGTTAAAAGGATTCGAACCACCCATCCCCCAATAGCATGTGTGTGGCGACACTTGGGGAGCTTGAACTCTCAGTTCCTCTCATGGGGAGAGGGGCCGAGTGGAGAACTTGGCTTTCTGCACCCACCTGACAGTAACAAAGTGGCACAGCCACTTCTGCCACAGCAATGTCAAAAGAAGGTGGCTAAAACAGAATTTGCAGTAAGATTCAGTCTAATAACACCAAAAATATCCAGGTTTCAATAAAAAAAAAAGTCATTCATAACTAAAGGAGGTATCAGAGGCAGACGGGAAGTGGGTTTAATTATAAAAGGGCAAAATGAGGAGTCTTTGCAGCGACGGGTATGTTCCATATCCTGACTACTTTGGTTGTGATGTTACAGTTTTGCAAGATGTTATCACTGAGGGGTCACGGACAGCAACACATCACAAACCGGAGTGAGCTTAGTATCTGGCAACCTCAGACACCAAGAATATATTTGGAGGCATGGAATTAATTTCCCGGAGGTGAAAGACCCAAACAGTTTGGTAATCCACATTCCTAAATTCAAACAAATTAATCACAGAAGAATCTTACAAATTCAGAAATTGTTTATTCTTCTTTGGAACACATCTAACAAGTGTGGTTATCTTTGCTCAGATGTACAAATATAAGAAGGTAAAAACCCTCTACAGAAAAAACAAAGCCAACGGTACTGAGGCCCAGCTGACAATACAGAAATACCGGGAGTAATGGGAAGAGATACAAAACTATTAAAAACGGACCCAGATGAGACGCAATTTTTGGTACTCTGGACCACATCTTGCAACTAAGAGCATTAGTGGAAAACCAGCGATATCTCAATAAAACCTGAAGTTTAGTTAGCAATAATATACCACTGTTGGTTTCCTAACTTTGACAAATGCACTCGGATGTAAGATGCTGACATTATGGAAAAGGAGTGAGGGGCACATGAGAAGGAAAGGTCTGTACTACCTCTGCTACTTTTCTGAAAACCTAAAACTCTTCCAAAATAAAAAGGGTGTCTGTCTTTATGCCAGTACCATACTGTTTTATTTACTTTGTGATAGATTTTGAAATCAGAAAGTGTGATGCCTCCAGCTTTATTCTTTTTCAAGACTGTTTTGGCCACTCAAGGTCTTTCATGGTTCCTATGAATTTTAGAATTGTGTCTTCTATTCCTGTAAGGCATGCCATTGGAATTTTTGACAGAGTGCACAGCCTCTGAAAATTGCCTTGCGTAGTATGGAAATCTTAATATCTAGTGTTCCAAACCATGAATATGAGTATCTACTTGTGTCTTCAATGTCTTTCATCAACGTTTTGTAGTTTTCAAGGTACAAGTCTCTCACCTCCTTGAAGTGTATTATGTATGCTCAATTATTGTATTTATGTTAAATTTATGCTCAGCTATTGTATTCTTTCTGATGCAGTTCTAAGTGGGATGTGTTTTCTTAAGTTCCTTTTCAGATAGTTCATTTAGTACAGAAAATACAACTGAAGTTTGCATACTGACTTTGTATCCTGCAACCTTACTTAATTTATTAGCTCCAGCAATTTTTTTTAAATAGGTCTTTAGTGTTTTCTATACATAAGATCACATCATCCGCAAAAAGGGACAGTTTTACTTCTACCTTAACATCTGGATTCTTTTTATTTCTTTTCATTGCCTAATTGCTCTGTCTAGGATTTCAGGTACCATGTTGGGTATACAGAGCAATAGACAGAACAGGAAGTTCAGAAATAATTCCACACATATATAGTCAACTGATCTTCAACAAGGGCACCCAAAAGTAAACAGTGATGAAAGGACAGTCTCTTCAACAAATGGTGTTGAGAAAAGTGGATATCCAAATGAAAAAGAATGAAATCCTTCTTTTTCACCACACAAAAAATCAACTCAAAATGAGTGAGACTTAAA